AGCCCAGCTCCAGGTTGAGCTGTTGTTCAGCATCTTAGCTGTGGAGGGCAGTGTCACTGGCCCTCATATGTGGGATCTGAACCGGGGCCCTCTGGTGTCCCAAGCCAGCTCTTAACCAATGCACCACTCGACTGGCCCTAGACACCCCTTTTCAAGAGAGTGGTCCTGCAGAAATACTCCATGGCCAGGGGAGCAGAGGGCAGGGGTCACAGTGCCGACTGTTTTACGGTGGGGAGTCAGTCACCTTACAAATGTTCAAGTGTTGGGGGCTGTCCCAGGCTACACGGGGTGCCCTGGCCCAAAATGCAGGCCAGGCTAGGGAGAGAAAAACGCCTGCTGTAACTCCTGGCTGCGTACAGCCCTTTACAAAGCACAAGGACATGTACCTCGTCTGAGACTCTGGGCCGAGGATGTGGGCACGCATTGTCATCACCCTGCTCTTTGGAGAGAGGAAGTAGGGCTCCAGCAAGTGACAGGACTCACTCCTGGTAATCCAGCCAGGGGATGGCAGGGGCAACAACGGATCCCTAGCCCCAGCCGCAGGGGCTGTGCACGAGTCTTCTGGTGGGTCTGAGGTGAGGGGGCTGCGGTGGGCACAAAGGCCCCCCACAACCTTATTCAGCTCAGGGCAAGACAGTCAGTCACAGAGGAGCTGCCCGTACTGGGCCCGTGGGTGCTGGCACACCGCCCGGGGGGACAGGCTCAGCTCCTGCCCCAGGAAGTGGCTGCTGGTCTGATGGGTGGGGGTGTAGCTTCTCGTGCAGGACGTCCTGAGTGCAGAGGACACAGTGCAGGGGGCACAGAGGAGTGTCTCTCAAGCCACCGCCCTAGATGGTGAGCCATGAGTGCAGGGACCATGCAGCCGGGTCACATGTAGCCGTAGGAACTGTCGTTGGTTGAAGGTCTCAGGTGGCAGGCTGACCCGCCCATGTGCACTGCAGGCCCGTGGGGTCCACCCCTTCCCGTCAGTCGGCACCTTCTCCTTCCCCACAGGAACACAAAATCCTGAGTGTTTCCTATTCAAACAACACAAAGCTAAACAAAGCCACAGGCTCCTGAAATGCCTCCCTTTCTGGCTACTTTCCTGTTCTTTTCCTCCAACCCCTGGCTGACACTCCCAGCTCAGCGACACCCAGCTCTCAGCAGAACTGGTGACTTTCTCACCACAAAATTCTAGCACAACTGTTCAGGCCACTGGACGGGAGGTTAACAGAACTGGCTGCAGCACTGCGAGAGCTGGCACCTAGTGGGGCGACTGGCGCCCGGGGCCATGTCACCATGGTGGGCCTGAGTCCTGAGAGGCCACAGGGATGGAAGGGGAAAGGGCTCAGCGGGGGTCGCTGGGGTCCTTAGGCCTGGAGGGCCTCACAATACCTTCTCCAGGTAAGGGCACACAGGAGCGTCCTGGTCACCAAGCCAGAGTCCTGGCCCCCGTGAGGGGACGGGTCCTGGGACCGGGAGGCGGACGCTAATCCGTGACCGGATGAGACAGGAGATGCACTTGGCGGGAGCGGGCTCTCCCCAGTAGCTAACAGTACAGATGAGTGTCCCACTGCACAGGTGAGGAAACTGGCTGGAAAAGGTGAATTTCCCAGCTCAGAGCTGAGATTGAAATGGGCCCAAGCCCTGGCACTCCACCTGCAGCCTCTCCTTAAACGCTAGGTCTAGAATACTCCACGCTACGCCTGGCAAACCACGCACTCGGGGGGACGTTGTGCCCAGCCCTCCACCCCCACGGGAGCCTGTGTGGGGAGGAGGGCAGCAGGTTATCGGCCGGGCCCAGCCAGCGGGCAGACGGGGGGCCAGGGGATCGCTGAAGGGCACCTATTCAGCCTGCGGCCCTGCCAGCTGGGCAGGGTGGGGCGGGCAAGCGCTATTTTGGGATCTGAGGGGAAGAGGAGCCTGTTTACAGCTGTCCCCTTCTGTCCCCCCCCCCGCCTCTCCTGGGAAGGGCTTGGGGACTTGGGCCTCAGCCCTCCTGACCCGTCCCACCCTGGGTCTGTTTGCCATCTGCACAGGGGGAGCTGCTGGGTCTTTTTTTGGAAGACACGACAGGTTTAGGTGCTGAGAACGGCAGGGGACTTGGGGCAGTAACAGCGAACAGTCCCCATGAGGCAGCACTCTAATTAGCACTGTGCTGACTTGGACCCCGCCACCCCATGATGCTGTAACAGTAAACCTGTTTGGTGGACTAGGGAACGGAGGCACAGGTCCCTTAAGGGGCTCGCCCTAGTCACCCGCTGATCAAGGGCAGAGCCAGTCTCAGACCCAGGCAGTCTGGCCGGGGTCCGCGCTGAGCCACTCGCCGGAGAGTGGGGCCTGCCGTGCGGACGAGGAGAAAGCCCCACACCCCAGGTCCCGGCTCGTCACTGGGAAGGGACCATGGCTGAGCCGGACCCACTAGCATGCCTGAGTCAGCGAGGGCTGGCCAGGAACCGGGGGCGCCTGTGGACCTGCCTTGGGACGAGGGACAGGCCGGGTGTGACTAGTCACAAAGCAGGGGCGGGAGAAACACCGTTTCTTCCTGTCGGTCCAGTCAGCGCAGCCGGTCTCCACTGTGCCGGCCGGGGGGGCACCAGCGTGTTACTGTGGCCGGCTCCCTTCCAGGCTCACAAGGTCCCGGGACCTCCTGGTGCAGAGCCCGAGGCTGAGGCCCGCCCCGCAGGCCGTCCACACGGCTCCCTGCCCCAAGGCCAGCAGTCCTGACCTGGGTCCTGCCTCCCCAGGGTCTCTGTGCCGCCTTTTCCGCAGGAAGCCTTCTCATTTCCAAGCGCCCTGCCAGGGTCAGGCCTCGTTCTCACCGTCCAGACCCCGTGGACCTGTTCCCTCCGTGTCTTCTGGGACCCCTCCTCTTTTCCCCTCCCCATTTCCCTCCAAGACCCTGGGCTTTCAACACAGGACCCACAAGCCCGCGGAAGCCACCAGGTGACGTGCCCAGCGTTCGCTGTCCTCGGACTAGTCGGGGAGAAAGCTTAGCGAAGAGTCAACACACTCAGATGGTCAGAGCGGGTCTGCCCAGCAGGGCCGGGCGGGAGCCCTCCCAAAGGTCAGCGAGACCCCGACGTAGCAGCAGCAGCACCGGAACCGCACCGAGTCGCTCTAATCCAGTGAGCTGACAGGGCTCCCAGCGACGGCCAGGTGGAACACAGGACGAGACACTCGCCACTTGAGGCTCTTTCTGAGGCGGGTGTTAAGTTCCCCGTTGTACAGATGGGGACACCAAGGAGCCGAGGGGTGTCACCGCCCAGCACCGTCCCTGCACCTATGTGATCATGCCACGCCTGAAGGGTCTGTGTGGACCCCCAGCTGGGCCTGAGCTCGCAGCGGCACTTGCTACAGCACAAACCACATGCGGCAGACGGCCGGCAAGCGGGGTGCAGCCTGAACCCCAGGAAGACCACAGTAACGCCGCCTTCCCTGCCTAATCAAATCCCCTGACTGGGAGGTGGGGTCCCTGAGAGGCGGCCGACATTGGAGCTGCAGCTGTCCAACACAGGCGGAGAACGCGGCTTTGGGGACGTCACTGACAATTCCTCTGGCAGTGTGGTTCCCATTTGCTCTACGCCCACGGCAAGGGGTTTCTCCACGATGCGTCACTGCCAGCGGGCGCCCGTTTCTGGTGGCACTTCCAATGACAGGGAGACTCATGGCAACAATTCATCTCACAGCCATCACTTCGGGAAAGCTCGCCTCTGCCTGGTGTCTCCCATGTCATTCCCGCTGGTGCCACCCCATCACCCGGCTGCTGGGGGCTCCCAGCCCTGACTCAGGTCCCACATCACCCTTCCAGTCCCAATGGGTCTGCAGGGCAAACATGACAGCTCTGCATCCCCGGGGAGGGGCCTCACCGCCTGTCCTGCCCATCTGTTGGGCTGAGAGCCCTGGGAACCAGAAATGCCAAAATACGCTCAGAAAAGGCAATTTATTCCACGACGATCTTTCCTCTGGAAAGCCCTGCCCCCATCTGCCTGGCAGAGGCACAGGGGAGAAGAGAACTGGCAAAAAGCGCAGGCTACTTGCACTGACTCACGTACCTGCGGTGTGACCTTCTGCAGGTAGCACAGTATCTCTGTGCCGTCGTGGTTTCACCAATCTATAAATGGGGAAACCAAAGCCGCCCGCTCCACTCAATGGTCTAAACGAGACAACCGCGTGCAGCTCCCCGGCAGTCCAGGGCCTCCCCTCACAGCACCCCACTCGCGCGGCATCACTTGATCCCTACCAGGAGGGAACAGGCCTGGCCGTAACAAGCTTCCTGTTTGCCGAAACAGAACAAAGCAGCCGAGCAGGATGTCTGCGTGAGAAGAGGAGTGTGTCCTTCATGGGCCCCCATTTTCCGAAACGGTGTCCTGCTCCCCGGCCCTCCGAGGCTCTTCTGGCTCCCGTGCGCTTTCCTCGCCGTGGCTGAGCACACGGGACAATCTGGCACACAGGCGGGCGCAGGAGTGACCCTCCCCACTCTGCCCCAACCCAGGCCTCGCTCCCAGCCCGACGTCGCACACATTGCCACCGGCACAGAGCGCTAGCAGGAGCGCAGAGTCTGCTCCGTACCTCTCGGCTTTTCACAGACCCCTTGTCCACCTGCGCCTTGCGGGAAAACCTCACTCAGAATCTGCGCGTTTCCACAGCCTGCAGATCCCAGGTTTCCCGTGACCCAAAATGGGACGCCAGCTTCCTCCCCTTATCTAGTTTCTTTTGTAAACGGCCTCAGGTTCTTTGGAAATGGGTAAGGCACAAAAAACCCTCTCGTCACTCGAGTGGGAGGGGCTGAGGACAAAGCACAGCCCTGGCCCGTCACACACCCTCCCTCAGGGGTCCACCTGCAGTCTGACCGGGAGGGTGCAGGGGGGGTGGGCAGGCACCAGCTTGTTTTCCTAAGGATTTCACCGTGTGCAGGTTTTTCTAGTCTGGTAACAAGATCAGATGGGGAGGCGGCCTGGACCATGTGCTTGTGAGTCCGCACTGAGCGCCGCTCCCCCAGCAACCTCGTTCTGACTGGTCTGCTGGAGTCCTCAGTCCGCACCCCGCAGCCACGCCACTCACAGCTCAGCGATCTGCGATAACCGTCTTCCTCTCTTGGACTTTTACCCCCTTTCCTGTCCCAGTTTCTTCCATTTTCCCTTCAGTTCTCTCCACTGGGAATTCAGCAAGCTCCCGGGAAAGCCCCTGGCATCCCGGCTGCCGTTCACGTGGACAGACCCGAGTGTCAGAGCAGCCAGGGCTCTGGTCACACCCCACCTGTTCCCTATCACACGCCCGCTCCGTCTCACCAGCTCGCCCTGCCCTTCCACACAGCCACAGACGGGCGACAACCAGGGGCTGGAGTTCACCCGTGGCAGCCCCACTGGCCTTGGGGGGGGGCTCTTCTTCCTGCGGGGATCCGTCCTCGTCCTTGTCAGCGGTGGGAACGACATCCACTGTGCACCTGCTGTGATGGTGACGTGGGCTGACGAATGTGAAAGTGCTCTGGAAACACGGAAGTGCCCGCACCACGGGGTCCAGCAGCAGGGTGCCTGCTGGGCAGGGTGCCCCCACTGTTACTAGGACTTCTCCCCAGAAACCAGCGGGACAGCAGGAAGAGGGCAGGGCCATTTTGGGCACCAGACAGTCTACGCACGGGAGCCCCAAGCCTCCCACTCAGCAGTTCAATGCTGTCGGCGCGAGACCATCCTTTGGTGCCAAAACCGAGGGTTGATTTCGCCGTGAGCACTGGACCTTCAGCGCTGCCTTGCGACCAACTATGGATGGCGTCTCGAGGTGAGACTCCGGTTTCCTGAGAACCAGCTGGCCAGACCCGCCATGGTTTTCCCGCCACAGGGCCCTCCCCATGCCACGCGGCAGCTGGACACAGGGACACCCAGTGGCAGGAGCTCACTACTGGCCACAAGATCCTCAGGCTTCCACGAAGGTCCTGCGGTTAGGTGCCCCGCGGTGGGGCCCTTTCCGTGCGAACGGAGGTGTGAACTCACTTCACAGGAGAACGTGACCTCAGGACGTACTGTGCAGCTGGTACACCCGGGGGCCGGGGGTCCCGGCAGACAGGCAGCACTGGCTTTGCCCTTCCTGCCGTGAGTTCTCACCCTCGTTCGCTTTGAACCCACGACGGACTCAATTTCCCAATTAAGGGACGTCGCTTAAAGACGCCTACGGGACAGCACCCGTCCTCTAGGAGTTGCCTGGGGCCGGATCGGCCGACACACGGGGTCCAGACGACCTTCACCTGGCCTCCCCTATTGTCTCCATTCTCCCTCTAAAGGGAACGGGGCAGAGGTGCTGAGACCCCTTATATTATGCGGACTGAGTTCATTTGTAAAGATTACTTTACTCTCCTAGAAAAATACACGCTGCAAATCTCAGGGCTACAACTTAACCACTTTAGAGGGTTGCTGGGGCACGGGGGTCACCTTTGAATGTCCGACTCTGTAACGTGTGGGAGAGGCATATTAAATACAGGTGGGTCAGGAGAACTTTTAAAAAAATCTGTTTTTCCCCCGTTTTTTCTAAAAGAGGAAAAACAAATTGCCATCCGTCTGGCTTACTTTGCGTGTGCGCGCGTCTGTGTACACAGGACTAGCTTGGGGAGGGGCTGTCATGCAGAGGCAGGAATGAGCTGCCGTCCTCCAGGGAGCCGCAGTGTCGTCCACGGGAGGCAGAGGGCACGCGAAGCCCTGCAGGCAGGCGCCTCCTGCCACTCCTCCGAGTGCCCGGGCGCCTGTGCTGAGGGCAGGAGGTGTGCGCTCTCCAGGGCACGCCCATCTGAGCACATTGGACGTCCTGTGAAAGCCATCGGGCGTTCCGGATAGACATGGTCACTTCCTGTGCTCCGGGCAGGGCAAAGTAACCCGTGGGCACGGTCCTCGTGGGCAGTGTTTCTGGACTGGCCGGCAGAGGACTGTAGGGACACAGGTGGGGTGCCGCTGGGGAGAAAAGGGCTCTAGAGATGGAGTGTCTTCAGGGGGACTCTGAGAGGTCCTTCGTTCCAGCATTCCTACGTGACAGCCTGGTTGCAACTGTCGTCACTGCCACTCCGCAAAGGCCAAGGGCCGAGAGTCAGGAGGCCACTCCAGGTAGAGAGGAAAGTGCGCCTCCAGCTCCGCGGGCTGCAAAACGGTGGGTGGCCGGGCCAGGCGGAGGAGCCAGGTGGAGAGGCTCGCTTTCTAGACGCCAATGGTCTGCAGCACGCGCCTCTCGTTGTCGTTAAGGTGGCCTGAGAACATCACGTAGCAGGGCTGCTGAGCGAACTGGCAGAGGAAGTCCGTGAGGTACGCCTGGAGGGAAGAAGCTGGTGTCACTAAGGCCCAGGGTCACCCATGGGCACTGTGGGGAGAACCTGTGACGGAGGCTGGCGCCCAAGGCAGGGCTTTCTACCTCTGGGGTCTAGTTTAGGTTCCACCCAGAGACTCAGATCCACAGGGAAACACGGCTTCCCAGAATGCATCTCACACTCCAGCCTTCACAGCACTGGGGGAAACGCGCCGTGCGAAGTCCCCGCCCTTCCCGAGCCTGTGACCACACAGCAAGCCAGGGTCTGGCCCTGAGGCTGCAGGATGGAGGACGAATGGGTCTGAGCCCCTGTCCCTGGTTCGGTGGCTTGAGACGCTGTCCCTTGCAGGATGTCCTCTGGACAGCCTCACCTGCAGGTCAATCTGATAGAGAGGGTCCTTCAGGGCGTCAGGGTCGTCCTCCTCGTCGTCCTCGTAGTAGTCGTCCTCTGAGAGACACGGGAGCGGGGTCAGGCAGAGGCGTCCCCACGCGCGGGGCGGGTGGGAACACCTTTCGGCCCCCGGCTCTCGGCACCAGCGAGCTCAGAAGAGCCGCCTACCCCGGTGCTCCCCTCAAACCGCTCACCGTATTTGCTGGTGGCGAGAATGTCGGACAAGAGCTGGCCCGCTAGGCCGTCCTCCTCCTCGTCGTCCTGGTCCTCGTCCTGGTCCTGGTCCTCCCACATGTCACTGGCATCATCTACTTGGAGATGAGAAGCAGCTGGTGACACGCGTCAGCCCTCCCCAAACCCAAACAGGCCAGGACGGAGCTCCGAGGGTCCCCACCATGCGGCCTGGAGTCCCCCGTGGGAGGCAGCAGCGGCGGCTGCCCCTCCCAGCACGTTTGGAGGCAGAGCCGAGTGTTCGGGGGGGCGACAAAAGGCTGAGAAGACTGGAGGAAACCAGGCTGGAAGAGCTGCCTCCTGGCTGCCGCCGCCCCAGCCTGTGATGCCGAAGGCAGCCCTGAAAAGCGGCTCTGGGGCCCAGCACCCTGGTCAGAGCAGGCGCGGTGACGCCATCAACCCAATGGATGCACTGAGAGTTGTAACGCGGGCTGGGGGCCAGTGGCCTGGGGTCGGGGCCTGGGCACCTGGGCTCCACTCTGCAGGAGTGGCCTGGCGGGCAGCGTTGGCCTCCATGACGTTGGACAGCTCATTAATGATCAGCTTTAGGATCTTGACCAGCAGAGGAATGTTTGTCCAGCGCTCGGGGTCTGGGAAGGACAGAAAGTCAGGCTGTCACTGGGCTCACTGCTGGCAACGCCTGTCCTGCTGCCACCACAGAGCGATGCAAAGTCACATAATTCCACTCTGTCTGGTGTCACCAGGGCTCAGAAGTCAGAAGCCACAAGAGCTCCGGGATTAGAGGAGCGAGGTTTTTGCCAGAAACTGCCAACTACCGTATTTCCCCATGTATAAGATGCACCTTCATTTGGGGGCCCAAAATTTGAAAAAAATGTATTACATAAAGTTATTGAAATCAAGTTTTATTCGTCATAAAATTCATACAACTCCTCATCACATCACTTGCGGGAAATGCAAGTAAAAAAAACTACAAGTGCTGTATAAGACGCACCCAGTTTTTAGACCCCAAATTTTTCAAAAAAAGGGTGCGTCTTATCCATGGGGAAATATGGTAACTGCTGAGTACCTGCCGGTCCCATGAGCTGCAACTGGAGAAGCAGCGGAGGTGACTATAAAGCCACAGTCCCAAGGGCAGCCTTGCACTCACTACCCACAAAGCACTGGGGGCACTGGCCAAAGGTGTTCCCATCGCCAAGACATGTGGGATGCAGGCACTGAAGCCCCCGGACAGAGCCGGAGCTGGGTCCCTGGTGCCTAAGACGTTTGATGTCCAACAACAGGGAGGGACCGTCGTGTCCTGAGCAAACCCCGCACTACCAGTTATGGTTAAACTAGAGACGACAGCACCCCCCACCCCCCGCCATGGCCCCGGCGTCACCCACTCTTGGCTGACTTGGAGCGGGTGCGGACGCCCTCGTCCACGCTGCAGATCTCCTCGCCTTTCACACGGATGTCCTGCAGCCGCTTGTCGTCTGCATTGATGCCATGCTGCAGCAGCTTACACAGGGCCACAGAGCTGGCAGGAAGAGCCCAGGCGTCACTCAGCCCCCCAGCCAGTGCCTCCGAGGGCATGAGCGGTCACGTCCTACGACTGTCTGAGGTGAGAAGTCTGCTCGCTACTCTTAGGAGACAACCGTGCGGCTGGGGTTCAGCGTCCACAGACGCTCCAATGGGAAGACTTGGGGAGCAAGGCTGGCGTGGGCAGGCCTCACACTGGGGTCCCTGCCGGGAGGTGCGACAGGGGATGAGGACCAGTGGGCTCAAACTCCAGGAAAAAAGTGACAGCGTCAGGGTCAGAAGGAGAATAAGCCCCTGCAGTCCTCGGCTGCGGAGGTCTGAGGCAGAGGAGCGTCTCCAGCCGACAGATCAGAAAACATGGTGTCGTGTCGGCTGCCTTTTGGGAATTTCAGGGTGGCAGCTACTTTGGTCACATACGATTAGCAATAAAGAACCAGGGAAGAGGGACACAGCCAGGGGCAGCCTGACATGTCAAACAGGACGCCAGGACGCGGTCAGGGTAAGCAGCAGCGCCAGCAGGCCCACCTGACTTTGCCTTCGTACTGCCCATAGAAGAGGTGCTGGCGGCTGGTCCACTCGGCCATCACGAACTCCAGGGCGGGTTTGCCGGTCGGCCCGGGGAGGCTGCATAGGAAGTCCAGCAGGGGCCCCAGCTGAGTGTGCACCAGGTGGGCGAACACCATGATCAGGGACTAGGAGGTGACAAGAGGACGCCTGTTTCAGGGAGACCGACCTCCAAGGCAGGAGATGAGGGAGTGGGGCTGGCCATCAAGAAACAGAAAAACATGGGCTTCCCTTGTCAGCGTTCCCTGAGCCCACACAGAACGACTTCACTGACTGTTCTGCAAGGACAGTCAGCGAGCACGGTAACCAGGCCCCCGCGCTGACTCTACCCCATCCCTCCACCCCATGGGTGGGGGATGCCCCTCATGACACCCAGTGTCTCCGCTGGACCAGAGCACCGACTCCGTCTCTATCACCCAACCACCCCTCACCGGGATCCCCCTCACCTGCATGACGCTCAGCGTCTCCGCCTGCTGCATCTTGCTCAGGATGGCCCGCAGAATCTGGTCCAGATTCTCACCCAGCTCCCGCCCGGCCTTGGAGATGAGGGTGGACACGAGACGGCCCACAAAGGCTGCGGTGAACTCAGACGTGCGGGGGTCCAGCAGCTGGCTCACCACCTGCATCACGTACCACAGCCCACTGTGGCCTTGCTCGTCGTGCCACTGGGCCACCTGCTCCAGTGTCACTGACACGTAGGCCCGCAAGCACTCGCCACCATTCTGGGGAGACAAGGGTGGCAGGCGGATTAGCAACCGGGGGACAGATCGCAGGAGGCCCTCAGTCTGCATGGGCAAAGGCTGTCCTCAGAGGACCGAGCCTCCTAAGAGTGGGGAAGCCTCCAGGGCTGTGGGGGGCTCATCCCACAAGTCAGCGAGTCACCGTTACACACAGACACTCAGTCCCTGCCTTGCCTAACAGCTACCTCAGCAATGCCTGTTTCTGATCACAAGGGGCAGTGGACAAGCACATGGAGTTTAACCCTGAAGACCACCTCTGATTCTGGAAAAATTGTCTAAGATGCAGGAATAATCAGGGGACTATGGGCACCTAGAGATTTCCAAAGGCCGGTCACTTTGCTGACTTTATCAATAGAACATCCAGATTTTTTTTTTTTTTTTAGCTGAGCCATCCTGCCACCTGGACAAGCACATGGAGTTTAACCCTGAAGACCACCTCTGATTCTGGAAAAATTGTCTAAGATGCAGGAATAATCAGGGGACTATGGGCACCTAGAGATTTCCAAAGGCCGGTCACTTTGCTGACTTTATCAATAGAACATCCAGATTTTTTTTTTTTTTTTAAGATTAGCCATCCTGCCACCTGTTGGCAGCTCAGCGGCAGCTCAACTCGGGCCAGGCATCAAACCGCTGTTGCTCAGAGCTCACACTCTTGAGCGAGCTCTTAACCAACCACTTGGCCGGCCTCAGATGACTTTTTATGGCCTAAGCCCTTACGCCTGCAGCCTCTTCCACAGCAGTGACACTAAGATAGGGGGTTGTCAACATCTCTGCCATCATGACACCCTGAAGCACAGGATGACTGGCTTTTGCAAACAGATCCTGGTCCTTTGGGTAAATATGAATGTGAGGTGTAGATCTCAAAAGCATGAAACTGTCCGATCTCCCCGCTTCCTATGAGCCCGTGGCTGGGGGCTGGTGTCGCCCCTCTCGTCACCATGGTGAGATACCTGCATGGTGGCGTTGTCATCTGTGTGGAGGGTACACTGTGCCACGGCAGGAAAAGCCTGGCAGATGAGTAGCTGGGAAAGGGGTGGCTTTGAACTCCGCACAACGGTGGTCAGGATATCAATGGCTGTCTGTGGAGAGAATAAAGGAGGCTCAGAGCTGACTCCGCGATGGGCAGGGGTGCCCACCAACCAGGGTCCTTCCTGTGTGGGCACAACACAGCAGCCAGAGCATGCCGGGGAACGAAGACACGCTTCTGAAAGAAGAGGCGGTGCCCGGGCCTCAGCCTCATGGTGGCTCCTTCCGTGTCTGGCAGGGGGGGCCCTGAGCCTCGGTGCTCCTGGTTTGCCGTCAGCCGGGGGGGCTGTACAGGCAGCACTGGCAGGGCGCCCGCCCCCCACCGCGCACAGCCCAGCTCCAGCCCCGCCCCACTCACCGCACACAGCCCTGCCGGGATCTTGTCGGCCGGCGCCTGCATGATGCTGACCAGGGTCGGGATGAGCCGCATCTGCATGGGGCCCTGGCAGGCTTCGATCTGGGACAGCTCCTTGAAGATGTCCTGAGCCAGCGAGGCGACGACAGGGTCTGAAGTGGACAAGGCAACACGGAACCCCTGCCTGATGGTCTGCACGCGCTTCTGTGTGGCCCTAACCTAAGTTAACAACTTCTGCTTGGATTACGTGTCACAGACCAGGGACCTAGTGGGGCCACATGAATCACCTGAAAGAACAGGAGAGATGCCAGATCTCCAAGAGGCAGTGAGCACGGGGTCACTAAGTCCGGGGCGTCAGTGCAAGGTACCCCAAAACCAAATGCAGCTCTTTCTGGGGCAAATCTTTACTGTCTTTGTTCTTGGGAAACCTAGATTGATCGTGAAACCAAAGGCTGAAGGAAAGAAAGTCCCACTGTACTTTCTTAAAAGACATGGAAGTTTCAAAAAGTGCCCAAACACCGACTTTTCCCCGTTCTCATGTGTCAGGGAGGGATCCTATGCATGTCCTAGGGGCAGTGGTGACAGACAAAAGGAACCCCCAAATTCACTATTCCAGGACAAAGGCAGGGCCTCGTGAGTGGGACTTGGGCCCGCCCTATGTTGTCCTCCTCTCTGGAGCACGGAAAGCCCACACAGGGGCACCAGGGGACACACTCCGTCTCAGCTGCACTGCCTGTGCTAAACAACGGCAGTGGCTTCGTGTCCACCAGCAGACGCGTAAGTGGACTGAGGTGCGGCCGGTGTACAGACCACCATGTGATGGCCGCAGGAATGAGTACTTCCAAGAGCACCAGGTCGCAACCGCTCCAGGTGGCGTGTCGGTGAGAGAGTGAAGCGGGTAGGATAAAATGATCAGGACGCCGTCACGTCCTGTAACCAATGCCCAGCCCATCACGCGCTTCTGAGCATCAACACCAGAGTTCCCTCTTCAAAAACAAATATCCTCGCTCTTCTTACTGATAATAAAGTACTAATAACACACTACAGAAAAGCAGTGCAGAAAAGGCGGAAAACTATGAATGGAAACTCCTATAATTCCACCATCCATAATGCCTTGCTGTGCTTTCTTCTGCTGTTTCCTATATACATTTCTACACAAACATCCTTTCCTCAAACAAAACCACACTGGGGATTATGTCCTATGCGCTTTGGAAAACCGTCTACTCACGTACTATAAGCTCTCTGCCATTGCTCTAAACACTGCTTTGAAGCATGCTTTTTAAAGGCTGCATATTATGCCATTCTATGGATATAATCAATGCTGTCACCATTTCCAAGCTTGTGCTGCTATAAAAACATGGGAAGAACGCTGTTCCTCGCCTTTGTGCGCGTCTTTCTTCAGTACCTCTGCCTCTAAGTCACAGCTCTAGGCCTCTTCTGCAGGACGCCTGTGACTCAGGGGCTCAGTTTCCCGCTTTGTTGTCAGAGCTCTGAATCATTGCCACGCTGGGCAGCCCTTAACACAGGACCCTCCCACTTCCAGTGAGAGTGAGGCTGCCGGGAACAGGTGCCCTGACAGCACCTACTCTGCTTCTGAGGTGAAGGTTGCCGGCCACAGCCCCCGTCCGGCGCCCCTCCCCGGTGGCATACCGTTGCTGTACTTGAGGAAAATGGCAATGGTGAAGGGGCAGATCTTGCTCTCCACGCTGGCCGTGAACGCCGGGTCCACGGTGCACACGATGCATAGCGCTTCCATCACCAGGTTGAGGACCTCGGAGCTGAACTGCGCTGCCAGGTGAATCAGGCCATCCAGGATGCTGGGCAGGAAAGGCTGAAGGACCTGGGTGCTCTCCGAGGCTTTCAGCTGGTCACAGTAACTGGGAGACAGGCAAGCGAGGGTGACTCACAGGGCACCCCTCCACCGCTGGCCTCCAGTCGCTGCCAACCCCATGTGACAGCGTGTACGTGCGGTGTCACCAAGCTACTTCCAGTGAGCTTCTACCTCTTTCTGTGGCATGTTTTATAAATGTCAGCACGACCATTTCTATTTTCTGATTTACTTCTGCTTTGGTCTTTGCTACTGCCTGTAAATTCTTTCATCCCTCTCCCATTCTGTCCCCAAGTAAATCCCACTCATGTCATTACATCCAAATTATCTGGATAAAGTGAAATGACCTGACTCCTCAGACGGCTGCTGTAGTCAGTCACATGCCTAACATGCTCATCTACGGTCTGCTCGTTATTTTCCAAATACTTACAGCGTTTCAACATCTCTTCCAACATAACCGTTATTTAGTACAAAACTATTTTTTAACTTGCACATTATAAATATTTTGTGCTTTTGGCGGTTTTTGTGCATCCTAAAATGAGATCAATTTATATAAACATTCTGTGCTACACCAACACATAAAGTTGGTGTAGCGTTTGTAGGGCTTAACTTTCCCACACGGACGTCGCTCACCTTAACTACATCTTATTCAATCAGTAGCTATTTACTGCGTACTGTTTACCACGTCCAGTGGGATACAACTATCGAAAACACACTAAGTCTTTACTTTGGTTTACCTTCAGGGTGGCAATCAAAGTCAATAAAAACATTGTTTCTATGCTTCAAAAACTTAACATGGAAACAAGGCCCTCCCCAGATATTCAATAAAATTTTTTTTTTTAACTGTTAAGTGTCATCAAATATATGGTGATAGGAGAACTGACTCTGGGTGGTGAACACACAATGTGATATACAGATGATGTATTACAGAATTGTACACTTGAAATCTATGTAACTTTAATAACCATTGTCACTCCAATAAACTTTAATAAAAACAAAACGAAACAAAACACTGTTAAGTGTCTATGGTTTCAAAGGTCTAGTGACCTGGGGAACTGTGGCTTTGACCCAGAATTGCTGACTTTCCACACCAGCTTGCTCTGATCTGACTCTTCAGAGCTGACTTGGGACCTGGCCTGGTCAGCTCGCCACTCCTTGGCCACGCTCTGTTCTGCATCCATCTCTACCGGACTCAGCGGGGCCCTACTGCCTCCTTGCATCTCCATCCTAAGGGCTTGGTTACTGTACCCTTCTGGTGAACTTGACACTACACAGCCTGGTCAAGCACATCATCTGGTCAGATCATAGGGGGTCTTAAACGTCATGTAAGGGAGGTCACTTTATAGCTGAAGCCAGTGGAGCTCAGACTTTGTAAGAAATCACCCCCAGCACCTACTTTCTTCATTAGAGCTGCCCCAAAGTCTTCGAGAAAAACTGATGCCCAGAAAGATGCTCTACGTTTATCCTGTGGCTTCACGTACCACGGGGCACACTGTGGCCCTCCTCTGCAGGTGATTCTCACCCTTTATTCTCTGTCCTCCGCTGACTGGATAACCTCAAAGGCCCTATCTTCTGGCTCACAGGTGCCTTCTTCTGCTTTAGCCATTTGGCCAGTGATGCTCTCCACCGCGTTTCTCATTCATTCATTGTGTATTTCAGCTCCAGAATTTGTTTGGTGCTATTCTGTGATTTCTACCTCTTAGCTGAACTCATTTTGTTTGTGTGCTGTTTTCCTGATTTCACAAACTCTTTCTGTGTCTTCTTGTAGCTCACCAAGCTATAAACAGCTATTTTCAGTTTTCTATCTGGTGAATCACAGATCTCGGCATCGCTGGGGCTGGTAACTGAAGAACTGCCTTCCTTTGTGTCGTGTTGCCTTGCTCTCTCATGTCCCTTGAAGTCGTAGGTCCTGTCCTCTGTGGCCGCATCACCTCCTCCAGTCTTACTGACTGACCCCTTCAGTGTCCAATCTCGATTGCTCTGCTCCAATGGTGGGTGTTGTCTCTGCTGGACTGGAGTCCCACAAGGCTCTGCAGTCCGCAGGGGACTAAGTCAGTGTCCCCTGGGGTATGGAAATGTCCAGGTCTACAGCCGACTCCAGTCGGCAAGTCAGCTGCTGGAGTGTGGATGGCACTGGGGTTTCACAACCTCGTCCCTGGGGCTCAGCTCTCCAAAGGGCATTGGTGCCCAATTCTTGGTGTTGAGGAAGGGACACAAGGGGGAGGTCTCGTCCAGCCGTCCCGCTGACATCACTGCCCCTCAGTGCTTTCTGAAGACAGTAACGCACGGTATCTCGATCTCGGCTTCAAAAGGCAGGCGCGCAGGCAGGTGGAGACAAGCTTTGTTTTTAGGATTGTAAGCAGTTTAGGAGTCAACTGAGACTCTTCAATTTGGACTTTAAAATAACAAAGCTCTCTCCGGCCTGGGCAGTAATATGAATGACTAGTGAACCACCAGTACTAGCAGTGACAGAAAGCTCAAGTTGGGAAGAAACAGGCAGTGTTCCCAGGCCACGTTACCCCGACTTTGGTTTCTAACACAGAGCAAACGATCCACAAAATGACCTGGGCTCTACTCCTGTCCTCTAATTCATTGCCGGGCAACCCTAAGCAAGCGACCACGTCCCAGAGTGCCAGGCTGTTTGCCCCCCGAGCCGGGGTGAACTCCCAGGGACTGCGGAGCAAGGGGGAGCGGGATGCACTGGGCCTCCCAGAAGCCACGTTCCTGGTGTGGCTTCCTCTCCTGTCCTGCACTTGCGCTGCACATCTTCATCGAGAATTCCCAAGCAACACCGTCCATTGGAAGAGTGCTGCTTGGGGCCTCTATTCTGAGTATTTTCTCTTAAGGTAGTTTTTGTCGCCCTGAGGTGGCTTACTCACCCCCAGATGGCTCTCACAGCAGAAATGCGAACTGATGGGGGCTGTGTCTCATGAAGACCACTAACTGTTGCCTGTAGAAACTGCTGGATCAATTCAGGGGACATAGCAACAGTGAACCGACTGGCAGCCCAAAGTGCCCGACCCAAGAGGAAAGGAGACACTGGGAGGAAGAGAGAGTAATTAGGGGTTGCACAGTACAAGCGCCTGCTGCTCGCTGCCCAACTTCCCGCCTCCACTGCCCGACCCGTCCCGGTAACCGGATACCACGTCACACACACACTTAGTTGCGAGAACAGTAAAAGCCAACTGCTTCCCAGTTTCACTTGTCACTGTCTGCGAAGGGGGTCTGGATTCTTAGACTAAGAAGACGCCTGCCCGCCCACCTCGGCGCTCGGCCTCCCTGTCTGCACCACCTGCACGTGCCCTAGATGGCTTTGCTGCCCGTTCTCCTCCTGGAACATTGTAAGCCATTGCTCAGGCATTCTCTGATTTAAAATGTCGGTCAATCCCAGTCTACCCAGTGAAGACCGCCCTCACTGGCATGGCATCCACGGCCTGAAAGCAGGGCTCCAGCGTGACGATATCTCCCTTCCCAACTTCTAATCTCGGGAACGCACACCTCCCAGCAGCGCACCCCCTGTGTCGCTGTTTCTGGGCTCCCCTCTCCCTGCATCACCCCACTGACCGTGCGGCTGAAGTGCCCCTAGCTACTCTGTGCACTGCCTTCCCACGTCTTCAGCTCTCCTACACACTCAGTGCTGTTCGCTCTTCCAGCCACTGGTGTCAGGGTGGCTGACCCGCCTACCACGTGCTGCCTGAGGACAGGGACCACACCATTCAGCCCGTCCCAGGTTTAACTCAGTCACGTGCACGATAAACATTTAGCTGACGGGACCTACAGAACAGAACCCAACAAACTCTGCCGGCCTAACGATTACACACCAGTTTATATGATGTAGAACAGCAGCTCTCCTGGGAGCCCCGCACGTTAAAACTGTTCCACAAGAGCCCCAGGACATGACCTGTCGTTGTCACTCTCATTCTTTTTCACTGTACCGTGGAGTTTTCCAGAGGTGACATGGTGTGTGACACCATGGCTCTGACAGTTAATGAAACGTGTGCTTGCATTGCTTGCATTTTAAAAAGTTTTCAGTTTTCGTTTTTAATGTTAAATATTAATACATAAAATTCACAGGAATTCAATGATCACTTTGAGTTCACTTTTTTTAAAGTATAATGGGGTCCTGAGACCAAAAAGTTTAAAAATGGCTGGGGTAGAAAGCCCTTACCTACAGGCAGGAAGTTAAATTCTAGATATTAAATGCTTTTCCAGCCTTCACATTAAATATTCTCAAATCTCCATGAATTTTTAGATTCTTTGTTAGGGCAAATCCTACAAAGAATACGTTGATGGGTTTGAGAAATTCCAACACTTTCATTCCACACGACAGATTACCTGCTCGTTAGAGCAGGATTTGCTCAAATGGCTCAGGCTGCTACAAGGGCTACCTGTGGGGGAGGGGCAGGTGGGGACTGAGGATGGTGCCGGCACCGCCCAGCGCCCTGGTGTACGGGCTCAGGGAGGGACGACGGCATTTTGTGAGAACATGGCGTGGGCGAAGGCCACAGATGGGCTGGAGATGCCGGCCTGGGAGGCAGCCGGCTCTCAGGGGCTCTGCCGTGGGGCAAGTCAGGCTTCCTTTTCCTTTCGCGCAAGTAGCTAACACGGCCATGAGAACGGGACATTTTAATTAGTGGACACCGGCCGAGAATACAGCTGGAGGAAACGACAGGAAACAGGAAGAATGAGTGGACAGGCTGCCTGAGGGTGCCCTGGGCTTACTGATGCTGGCAGGGCTCAGCCAGAACCCTCACGGCACAGCCGCGACCTGAGTGCTGACTTGAGAGGAATGAGCAAAATTATTGTCTTGGTTGGCGAAACTCGAGCCAAGGCCTCCGGGCTGTTTTATGCGTCAGGCAAGTTCAAGCTCTAGGGAGGAAAGAAGAATCCCCCCCGAGGACATGTGAGTACCTGGCTTCCCTGTCTCGGTGGACAGCGTGACTGGGTTGATGGCAGGTCTAAAGGGCTCTGCGCTGAGACCTACCTGACAGGCTGAGGTCTGCGAGGACGACGCCGGTCAGGAGCCCGTGCATGTTGAACTGGACCCTGCCGTTCTTCACACTGTCGGTGATGATGGACTTCACGGAGCCCAGGGCGAGCATGCACGCCTCATGGATCTTCCACCTGCAAACGGGGAAAGCAAACCACACTGCCGCAAAGACAGACGTCCAGGGAAGGGAGTTCAGGACAGGGCGCTCCAGCAGTCCGACCCAAGGGCTGTCCACCTGCCATTCCAACCTGAACCTACAGCTGAAAACACAGCCACATTTAGTGACGACAGAGTATTCTAATTAAAAACAAAGCCACACTCCTTCTTTTTAAGGCTTTTTAAAAGGGGTAAAAGTATGCTGGGCAATTATTTTAAGGTGGGGAGGACTGCTTTAACAGGTGACGCACAGCCAGCCGGCTCTGCAGGTCCGAGGCCAGGACGCGCGCACGTGGTGCGCCCCCGCCCCGTGACGCTCCTGCCGCCCACTCTCACCAGTGCTCAGTGCCGCTGTTCTTGCTTTGCTCGGCTTCCTGCAAATGCCGGCTGGCTGCGGCGGCCAGGGCTGCCGCGCTCTCATTCTGGAACTCAGTGGCCACGGCCTAGGGAGAGGAGCGAAACCCATTTCTGCTGCAGACCGGAAACGTAGCTGCAAACGAAAGCTTCACTCTTTCATGTGCACACACAAAGCTCTGATCAGGTGCATTAGAAGCTCGGCCCCGATTAGTTCAGGGCCTGAGGAAGCCGGGGCAGTGTCTATATTTCTGAGTGCACAGGTGAAGGAAAGCTAATGACACGTGCAGGTCCTTTGGCTACATTTGCAGACTGTCAAGTCTCTGACAGACCCAGCTTTGGTGACACGGACCCGACACTATGCTCCGGGAGCCTGACTGGAAATAAAGGCTCATCTCTGCACTGGAACTTGGGGTGATCTTTCACAGGTGCTCAAAAATACTCAAGGGCAATGAGGAGAATTCACCCACAATGAGAACAGGCCACCACTCACAGGCGGCACGGGGCAGCTTCTGCACAGAACTTCAGCCCCGGTCAGAGGAGAGAGAGCAGGAGCGGGTGATTGGGCGTCACCCCCCGGCAATCTCACTTTTGTTGTAAGTTTGCCAGCCTTTGGTTTGTGCTCCAGACTCCTGCTGAAGTGGGGGTTCAGTGGGAATGTTCCCCACTCAACCGCCCTTCCTCATCAGAACACTTGATCCTCTGCAGCACTTTACATCTGGCCGTTAGCTGTCAATCAGAACTTGGAGCCCCCGAGTCTCACGCTTCGAGACGTTCTCTTGTTCTCTCTCCCCTCAAGGTCTAAGGCGTCTAGGTCGGAGGTCTAGAAAGAGGGGGTGCTGAGGGGCCGGCTCGGGGCTACCTGCGGGCGTCATGCAGCCCCTTACCAGCAGCAGGTCTTGAGCTGCAATCCTGACCGTGTAGGAGAAAGTGTCGTCGTCCTCGTCCTCTACAAACTGCTGCGGGTTGGCTGTCCACACTTTAATCTGAAAGGATGATGCGTTAGGTGCGGGTGAGGCTGCCACTCCGGTTCACATGCCCCCCTGTCCGCGCACACAGGAAGACCTCGACCTCTGCTTCTATCCTAAACGAAGTCTAGCTTCAAGTCTTTTCTCTTTGAGGTGGAGAAGCAAATCCTCTACCAGGTCAGCGGCAGAGGCCAGCGCTGTCCAGCAGGCACTGTTCTAGAGCGTGGCAGGTCGCTAGCCCTCTGCCTCGCCCGTCAGCTGTTACTAGGATAGACCATAGACATATTAGGTCTGATGGGCTACTTAATGTGACAGTTATGTTGACTCTTGTGCTGCTTATAAGAGAGGCATCATCTTATAAGCTCTTTTCGGTCTAACAGCCCAGCATCAGGTTGGCGACGAGGCCTCCACATTTCCCTTTTTATAGATAAGGACAGGTTCTTGTAGGTGTCAGGGCCTCTGGTTAGTGCCCCTGCCTGCAGAGAGCCCGTTACCCAATACAGGAGCAGATGACACCCTGACACCCAGGGACCTGGCAACAGAATGACACTAACGCTTCCCTAGCGTCACACGAAGTGACTCTGCCAGTGCCTGTTTTCAGAAACAAACTGCTCCCCGGTCCTCGGTCTCACAGTCAAGGTGTACTTTCCAAACACGCGCTGCGCCTGCCTCCCACTTACCTGTTCCTCGGTGATCTGCATGTACAGGATCACGTAGTAAATCAGCTCAGGCAAGGCTTTCTTGACAGTGCTTTTGAATTTGCTGTTTTCCAGGAGAGCATGGACAAATTCAAAAATGCTAAAGACGAGATTTTCAAAGCCCAGCACTTCACCTACAGGAAATACACAGGAGAAGGCTTGAATGACAAGGAAGCAAAGGGGAACAAACTGTATTACCTTTTAAATTAGTGAACATTTAAAGCACTTTCTAATTATTGTTCCCGAGGGAGAAGAGGCGGCGAAGGCATGAGAGCGAGAAACCGAGGGCAGTAAACGCTCTTTGGTTTTTCAAGTAAAAGAATCAGATGAACGTATTTTCCATCATTTTCTGTTTTTGCTCTAAAATACCTAAAAATATTAAAATGGAAAGTCTCGTTATCTGTGGCCCCAAAATGCCGGAGCAGGCTGGCTTGGACGGCCTGTTAGGCTCTGAGACCTCCCCAGGACTTCGTCCCCCCGAAACCTACATGCCAAGGGAAGCTCGCCCAGGACACTCACTGAACAGTGAGCCTTGGGGTGCCGGCCCACCCCCTCTCTGCCTCCCCATCTTTTCCTAGAGCCCTTTGCTCGGTTAGGACCACACACACTACATACCATCCGAATCCACAGGATCCTCCACTTCCTCTGTGTAGTTCACTTCTGTCCTCACGTAGGTATGAGACGAGTAAAGAAAGAGACTTTGATTCTACATGGGAAGGTGGGAGCCAGGCGCAGATGCCCACCAACAGTATGAGGAGCCACTTTAGAAGCCTCGCTTCACAAAGTGGGGGCACAGGAAGGCGAGCCCCGCACTAGATGCCCCGCCCGCGCTGGCGGCCCCCCAGCTCCAGAAAGGATATAAAGCCGCACTCTCGGTCAGCGTGTTCCAGACGATCGGCAGGATCTGCTGCATGGACGACACCATGTGCTTCGGGAAGTTCTTCACCAGGGCTGTCACCGCCTGAGGTCAGTGAGAGACGTGAGGCTGAGTGACACGCGAGGAACCCCGGGGACCCCGTCTCCCGGCTGCAGCCGTTTACCTTCAGGACTTCCATCTTGAACCCGCTGTCGGCCGTGGGGCCATCCGGTATCTGCAGGGCCTGCACGAAGGCCTCTGTGAACTGCTGCACCACAGGGAAGATCAGGACCTTGGCTGCCCCCTGGAAAGCACATCAGCAGTGGACACACCGTCACTCCGCAGCGAGGGTCCAGTCAGAGGGGGCAGCTCTAGGGGCAGCAGGTGGCCCACTGCAGCCTCCTCAGAGCTACTCTGTAAGACCAGCTCTTAGGTAACAGGGACGGTGTCTGCCACTGGGCTGTGTCACACGAGAGGGCCACAGTGGGGAGGGCTGGGTGACAGGTACGAATGGATACAGGGTAAGGGGAGCGGCACGCAGTGACTGGTTCCCCATCGTGCTCAGAGCCCCCCGTGCCCGTTTATGTGCATGCTGGAGCTGCCCCAGTTCAGGAGGGCAGCTCTGCCCACAGGGGGTGCAGTGGTAACAACGTCACAGCATGATGCCGGCAACTCACCTTTTCCAGCTCCTCCATGTTACAGACCATATGGGCGCAAGTGGTGAAAATCTCCACAGCTCGGGAGCGGGTCCGAATGCCATACACCTGGGAAGAAGTTACAGCATGGCCATGAGATCGCTGTGTGCGTCTGTCTGTCTGACTAGAACTGTGGCTTCTCATCCCTGACGCAGGACTGGATGCCCTGTGGAGAGGGGACACGCCATCACTCGTGTCCAGGAGACAGGCTTCCCCAGTTGAGAGGACGGAAGGCAACGGGACGCCAGGGCTCACTGGAGTGAGGCTTCTACACATACAGGCCTCTGAGGGCCGGTCTGACAGCACCCATTAGGTTGGGGGCTGCATGAAACCCCAACACGGGATTGTACTTCTTACAAAATGCAGGCTCTTGGCTGGGGTCAGAGAGGAGCGGGGAGTTTAAGACACCACCCATCAGGCACTCACACTGTGTGAGCGAGCTACCATTCCTACACTCAGCCGTCACACAGGTATGCAGTGTGGTCACAGGCTGCTTCTGCACACTCAGCGGGGCGGAGCGGGCTGAGGCGCCTCAGCGAGGGGCTGCAGGTGGCGTACAGGGTCCCAGGAGGCCAGGAAGTGCGAGACGTGTGAAGAAACGGTGCAACTCTTTCAGTCTTTTACCCAAAATGAACAGTGTGAGGTAAATCAGACCCAGATCTTTGTCCGTTCTCATTTTCAGCAGCAAACACAACAGGGTCTCACCCGGGTGGTGGGGGTGCCCAGAGCCCGGGCAGCTCCTGGGCTGAGATTCGTACCTCGGCCATGGTGAAGATCTTATACATCTCTGGGAGAATGACAGGAGCCACAAGTGGCATCTGTGTGTCTGTCACTTCTCGAGTGAATTCTACAAAGAAAAACACACTTTTAAACACACTGAGTGTGACAGTTTTCGAGTTGCTTCTGGGGACAGTTCCCCGAGGTGGCAGACAGGGGTGGACACTGGCCTGATGACCTTGTCCTGGGGAAGGAAAGTTGCAAGAGTTACTGATTATTTGTTACAAGGGGACAGAGAACAATACAGAAATAAAGGAAAACACGCGCGATTAAGAAAGAAAAGCTTTACATAAGCACTGAAGAAAACCTGTGACAGCAGTGGGCAGAGTCCCTGTGAGGCCACCTGAGGAAAACCCTGCATCAATCTTTGTGCCACAAGCTGACCTTTGGGGGCCCCTGGGCTCTGCTTTCAGCACTCTCCCGACAGGCTGTTCCGACGCACAGAACAGGTGTGTGCAGTTACCAGGCTTCAGCCCCTGTCCGCTACTCTTCCAGTGGACCTCACTCACCGACCTAGAAGCCTGAGGCTGCTGCTCGCGGCAACAGAAAGCGGTCTCTCCCAGACGGAGGCGGCACGGAGCTGCCTGCGCGCGGACAGTGAGGTACATGGGGTCACACCTCCCCTTCGTGTCCACAAACCCCACGAGGCACTGGGATTTCGTGTCCTAAGCAGTGGAGTGCAAGACGTGAGCGCCAATGTCTGCTCACGCGACCTCTGCTTTTCCAGGCGCTTCCACATTATTGCTGGATGGAGCGAGTCGGCTGGGACATTTTCAAGACATACAGCAGGAAATGCGAGCAGGCTCTTCCAAGGTCCATACCCTCCACTCTTGGGCAATATCACCACCAGAGTCAAATGAAGACCAAATATTCAAGGCTGACTGTCTTTAACAAGCTGTGCGTTCTTCCTGAAGAATAAATGCTGAACTCTGCACAGTAATGAGTGTTTTACTTTATTTAGAAATCCAGTGTGACAGATGATATATTAATGAAAACAAGTTTTATGAAAAAGGTGGCATAAATTAATTCCACGAATAAGGTGCTTAACCACATGTTTTTTCTCTCCTATAATCATTCCTGGTAGTCTCAATGTATTAACACTTGATAAGCTTGAGTCCAAAATAAGCTTTCCGAGGTCACTGAGCGAGTCAGAAAAAGCCTGCGACACCTGCAACATCTCAATCTTCAAAGCTCTCCGAGGCTGAGAAAGGAGCTGCAGCTTGTGGCTGAGAATGCCCCTCCTTGGCCGCCGTGCTGCGTTCCCTCCACACCGCCAGCCTTGGGTGGTTCTGCGTGTGGTACATTTATTGGGGAGCCTCGCTGAAGGCAGACTGAGGACGGAGAGCCGGCCCATCCTCCTGCAGGTGCCTGTCCACACACGGATGTCCTGCTGTCTCCACGCAGGTCGGTGCTGTTGTCAGAGCACGGTCCAGCCCCAGGTGAAAACAGGAATGCTATCTGAGGATGGACGGGGCAGCCCTCTGTCCCATGTCCGCTGGCTCCCTCACAAAAGGATACACCTCCCGCTTTCCATCTGTCCCTGTGACTGAAGCTGACAAAACAGCAATTTCCTCAGTCAAGCAAGATGAACGCGCTTAGCTCCCAACCATGATAAATGCACAACCACCGTTTTTAACAAGCCGAACTTGTGTTGGGAGACTGGAAGGCGACAGGCTCCCTTTGCTTGGTAGACAACACATCTGTTCACTGACATTTTCGTGCCAAGAGCTTGTGAGTAAGGAATCCTGGAAGGCGAATTCCACGGAGGAGGGCCTGTGGAGCCGCCTGGAGAGTGATCACACAAGAGAAGCGAGTGGAAACCTGAGCAGGGGAGATGCCATCGTTTTGGTAATTCTGCTCTAGACCCTGAGCACCTGTCACAGGTAATCAGGAAGAATACGATGGCCAAGGAAGAGGGGTTTGAAACAGAAGGACAAAAAGGATTTGCTTCTGGGCGTAGAACTGATCCCACTGACCATCAGCGTCACATGGACTAGTGAAATTGGGCCCAGAGGCCAAGCTCAGTAAACTGAGATTCAGAAAGCTGAAGTGGCACTCATAACTAGGCAGGAGTACATTTCAGGTAAGCCGGGGCACCACAGAGAAAGAGAAAATGCAGGCGGGACTGCCACAAACCTGTATGAGCAGAGGGGAAATGGGGTTTCTGAAAGAGCAACAGAAGGTGCCGATGTCGGGGTGAGGATTCCTTGAAGGCAAAACAGTGGAGACCTCACCCCGGGGGACAGGAAGCAGGGCGGAATGTGCAGGACGGGGACACTCAGGCCATACCTAGGGACATGTGAAGGCAGGTATGTGAGGGCTGGGTAGATTAACCAATCAAGCTGAGAAGAGATATCCACCAAAGCATCTTGGATGAAAAGTTATTATCAGCTTCTCAGAACAGAAAGCAAAGATACAGAAGGCTGCCTATTCCCTAAGCTGGCTGCGCGAATCAGGGCTTTACAGCTATGCTGTTTTTACCTTCTTTCATGTATTTTTCTTAATTTTGCCTTGAACTAACTAGAAAAATAACATCGAACAACAAGGATAATCATAATGGCTGAAATTTACAGAGCGCTTATGGTGTCAGTTACTGTGCTAATGTAATAATACTTTATGTCGATCAGCTCATTTAAATGACCAAAAGCTCCTTTGGCATAGATATTCTCGTTGTCTGCACTTTACCCACGAGGAGACTCCGGCTCGAGAGACGGGCAGTCGGGCCAAGGTAGAGGCAGACCATGAGCTGACACGTGTGTGCCCAGCCACTGTGCCATCACCCTGGAGTGCTGAGGTCTGGGGCAGCCCAAGGCCCGTGCCCAATGAACTCCCCGGAAGGGAGGGGCGCCGGAGGGAGGAGGCGTGGCAGCAAGGCTCACATCTGGCCAGAGATACTCCATCACAGCTTCCTGTGTGCCTCCTGGCACCCGCAGCCCCGGTCCCAACCCCGGGGAAGAGGCTCTGGTACCTGTCAGCACCCGCATGGCTCCATGGACGGCGTTGACGTCTCCGCTCACCAGCATCTCCATGAGCAGGTTGAAGAGCTGCGGCCAGGCCTCGGGCCAGTCCCAGTGGGCGATGGCCGACACTGCGTAGGCCACGCTGGAGCGTACCTTGCTGATCGATTCTCTCAGCCCGTTGGGCAGCAGCTCCCGAATAACGATTTTTGCCTGTAGAAGAGAAAAGCCCGCCTGCCATGACAGCAGGCTGTACGTGGCCAGCAGAGTCCCACCCGGCTTGTGTGTTAGGAAAACCACGAGCAGAGATACTGCATATCCATCAAAAACTCCGATACAGACACCTGATGAGCAGTTCGCTCAGCGTTCACCTGTGCTCTCTACGTGTACGCTGTCCGCCTCAGCAGTTAAGTTACAGTGGATGGAGGGAGATGAAAAGTTCTGTCCCTCAGTCACACCAGGCACATTTTAAGTGCTTGGCACCACACGTGGCCAGTAGCTACAGCACTTGACAGCACAGATACACATTTCCATAACTGCAGAGTTCCAACACTTAGCCTTGCTCGACAACTTACACCTCAAAATTTCTTGGGGGGGCCAGAGAGGCTGCATAGCACTGCACTAAATGGGAACATTATTTCCTTTAACCCTCGCACGACTCTTTGGATGTTAGAATTTTCCCTCTAACTTTAGACATTTAGGAAACTGCAGCTCAGAGGGTGAACTATTCCCCAGTGTTTCACGGCCAGCAAAGGGCAGAACTGGGACGGGAAGGCAGGCCAGCCTGTGACCCGAGCGCACTCATCCACAGCACGGGGCTCCCAACACGGCCTCCTACCAGCTCATCTATTCTGACTGCCGCTCGAGGTCCGGGAATGCGGGTGGTCCCACCTCGTCAGATGGCCCCTCAAAACACAGGCAGGCGGACCATGTCGCTGTCCTTACCCTTTCGGTAGTCTCAGGAGGCCGGAACTTCTCTGACTGGGCACACCAGTGAGTCTCCACATATTGCTTCAAAATGACTGATGCCAGCTGTGAAGAGAAGCAGCCCCGTGGTACACAGCAAGAAAGGCTTTCTTCACACAGGAAAACCATACGCACAGCCTGATCCATTCACAGGAAGTACATCGAAAGCTGGCACCAAACCCTAGGTTTATTATATAAACTGGCTGTATTTTTGCTCTTTCCCATAAGGAAGTTTCATTATCAAGAAAAGGGAAATTACGTATAAATTGGACCAATTGGTCTAGGCCAGCGGTTCTCAACCTGTGGGTCGTGACCCCTTTGGGGGTCGAACG